CTTTTTCCAACATCTAGCTTTGCATATAATTTTCTTTCAACAGGATCATTAGAAGGTCCAACTTTGGATTGCCGAGAAACTTTAGCTCCTAGTCCAAGCCTAAAAACACATGATTTGAACCTTGCAATTAGTTCATAGTAACAGAACAAAGCAGTAATAGAAGATGTAAACTACACTTACTTAAGAGGTCGTCCTTCTGGCTCTACTTCTACCAGTTCATCCTCTACAGATCCACTCATATTATTAACCCATTGTTCAGCCTGCATAGCAATAATGTCAGCTACAAAGGAAAGAAAATCACAAGCCCATTGTGTTGTGACACAATTGATACTGATAAAAGATGGTCAAATGCAAAACAGCCAAGCCAAACCACTCATAATCTAATGAATGATTATCCATTGAGAATTTCAAAACCTTTTGTTTTATCTTTGTAGAGTAGTATTATACCCATAATTAATAAGAAAAAGCTATAACGGCTCTTATAATATCCTGCACAAGCAGCAATCTTTGGCTCAAATCAGCTGGATTTTCCATTGGATATGACAACAACCAAGATATTCTCCACTTTGTACTTATTCCAGCTGACTAATTCAAACAACAGTTATTACAACGCAGAGAAGACAAGATATTCTCAATACAAGGATGAACAAAATATCAAAAAATGAAGAAAAGAAAGAAACAATTACCAGTTTCAATGCCTTGTCCAATTTAACAATTCCAGTTGGTTCAGTCTTTTTCTTTACTGTCTTGGTGCTCATCGCAACTTTTTTATTTGCCAATCAAGAAAACTGCAGCAACATAGGAAAATTTTAAACAATCACAGTGATAATTAAAAGAAAAACTTCTTTCAGACATTTCTTCAAACAGGTTGTGTTCAAGTTACAAAATTTAAGTAATTTATAGTTTCATGCATTTGGTTATCCTTTTCACAGCTTGGAAATCTACTAAAACATAGAGAACTCACACAGGTTCATCTTAATTGTCAACAAAAATTTCGACAAAAAGTGAAAAAAAAAAAAAAAAAATTTTGAGGGACAATACGAACCCACGAATGGATATTTCGATATAGCGGAAGCAATGAGGCGGAAGTTCAACTTTTTGAGTTAAAACAGGGGTAATGGAGAAAAGTGAGTTGACGGTGGTGGGCATGCTAAGAACAAGAACACTGGAGAGGGATCAGAGAAGGGAGAGAGAGAGGGATGAAGAGAACGGTGAAGAAAGGATTAGAGAAGGGAAAGAGAAATTGGGAAGGGAGAGGAGAAGTCGGGGAAGATTAAGAACACGCAGAAAGAATTAATGATTTAATTTTATTAATTAATTGATTCTATCATTTAATTATACATAAATATTTTAACGGCCCGCTCCGACCTAGTCCCATCGAATCTTGGGTTAAAAATGTTCATTTTCGTGGGTTGTACGTTTGAATATTACAAAAAAAATTTTTCTCATCTTCAATTAACCCTGTAAATAATTACAAATTTTTTTTTTTAATTAACTTTGTAAATAATTATAAATTGTTAAAAAAAATTATACATAAATATTTAATCATTAATTACATTATAAATAACTTAATTTATTAGCCAATTAATTTTACCATATAAACATAAATTTTATTAGTATTTTTAATCTAGGTGGCCTTTCTTTGTAATATTGAAATTTTAAAAAATGACATTTTAACAGAAAATTTTGCCACATCACGGAAGGATTAAATCGGACCAAAAATTGAAGTTTGGGTATACTTTTGGCATTTTTTAAAGATTAAGGATAGATTTGGTTCAAAAATAAAAATTAAAGGACCAAATTGGGTATTTAACCTAAATAAATCCATGTGGAGTGGACTGTCTCGGCGTTTCCACATGCGGTCCATTATTCCAGCGGATTTTAGCTCAGACATAAAAACCCATGAAACAGAAGAACATATTGTCCAGCCCAACCCATGAAGGTCCTGCTCGAGTTTGGGTCTGAGACTCTGAGCAAAATAAAAATAAAATTTAAGACATCCGAGTTCAAACTCGTAAGTTAATGAATTTTTTCTTAAATATTTATTTATTTATTCTTTTAATACTTTTAGGTAATATCCTATATTAAGCCTTTAAATTTATTATGGATTCTTGCTTAAATTCTTAAATTTTTATTGAAACAAACAAGTTTCTAAATTTGATAATTTTGAATAATTTAATCTTTTTTTTTATAATAGACTTAATGTTTATTTATCTATTACTAATATAAATAATATATTAATATATTATTATTTATGTGGTAGGTATTGACTTTATTCATGTAAATAAAACACAAATATATGTTAAATTTATCATAAGTAAAAGGATTAAATTATTGGTTAAATGCTAAATTTGGTCCCCCAACTTTAGTGAGTTGCACATTTTTGATCCTTCAATAATTTTTTGCACTTTTTTGATCCTCAACTATACGAAATGTACTCTGTTAGTCCTTCTGTCAATTTTCGCCGTTAACTTGGCCACATGGCATTTTTTATATTTTTTGTTGATGACATGGCAAAAATAACTTGAAAAGACGCTGATTTGGACTTTTTTTGCGACATGTCATCTTTCTTTCTCATCTTCACTCTCTGCAGAATCAATCTCCACTCCATCTGCAGAATCAATCTCCACTCCATCTGTAGAATCAATCTTAACCCATTTCTTCTTCTTCTTTAAATGCTCTCTCATCTCCACTCCTTTACAAAACCGATCTTAACCCATTTCTTCTTCTTCTCTTTTCTCAAGAGAACTTGAGAAATTGAATCCAGCTACTGGGTTTCTCCACTCCATCTGCAGAATCAATCTCCATTCCATCTGCAGAATCAATCTTAACCCATTTCTTCTTCTTCTCTAAATGCTCTAATCAATCAAACTCTCAAATTTATTAATCAAACAATATCAATCAAACTCTAATCAAATTTCAACAAAAATACAATCAAATTGTAAATCAACTCTCAAATTTATTAACAATTGGAAATGAAAATCGAAAGAAGAATGAAAAAACATGAATCCATCATCAAAACAGCAAAATTGGCTTCATCAGAACCCAGCTGGGTCTTGTCGGAACCCAGCAAGGGAGACCCAGCCTTGCTGGGTTCGACGGAACCCAGCAGATCTAGGTCTCCTCGAACACAGCCTAGCTGGGTCTCCCCGAACCCAACAAGGCTGGGTCTCCCTTGCTGGGTTCCAACGAGACCCAGCAAGCTGGGTTCGACGAGATCCAATAGGCTGAGTTCGTCGCAGCCATCAGAAGTGGAGACCCAAGGCAAGAAAGAAAGAAAGAGAAAGAAAGAAGGGGAAGAAGAGGGATTGGGTGGGTGAGGGTAGTTAGGTAATTTTATTTGTTTTTATTTAAACTATAAATATTAATCTGCGTGTTATTTTTTTTATTTATATAACATAATTA